TGCGTGGCGTCGAGGGCATCATAGGCAACACGGTAGGCGAGGCCAGCCTCATCCTGGTCCTCCACCGTCTCAGCAAAGTCAAGAACCAGCTGCTCTACCTGGTTCCAGTCAGGACTGGCGTGGAGCGCGGCGGCCAGGGCCGCAGCCTTGGCCGCAACAGGCGTTAGGGAAACCACCTGCCGTCGGCCACGGCGGCGGCTACTCCCAGGGTTACCTCTCTTACTCCCTAAAGAGGGCCTGACAGGGTCACCGCTTTGCTGGTGATCAGCACCCCCCAAATTAGGAGGAGCAGCCGTGCCGGCGGTGTCCTCCGCAGAGGAGGGCAGGAGGCGAGGCGCAAGCAACAGAGCACAAGCAGGTTCGGGAGGGGGCGGGGAAGCCCCTACCTCCCCATCCATCTCATCCCAGAACTGCCGATTCGACTCAGCCACCCTTTCTCGCCAACGCCGGGTGCGATGCTTCCTGGTGGGGCCCGCCACACCAGTGGGAGTGGGGCCTTTCTCCCGTGCGCGGCGAGACACAGTGCAAACCTTTTTCACAGATCTCGAGAGGGGATCCACAGGCACCTTTACTGGCCATGCGGTCACGGTACTCTCCAAGTCATCCAAAAACTCGCTGGCGAAGAAAAGGGGCCCCGACACACAGCAATCAGCTGCAGGCGCCCCATGAGGTGCCTTGCCCCGAGAGGCCTGATGACGCCGCAAAGCTAAATCTGAGGCCCTGGCCTGAGCAAGGGCCCCACGCAAAACTGTACCAGGAGCCCAATAAAGTCCAGGCTCCTGGAACGTGGCCGCGTCGCACTGCTGGGCAGACGCAGCCGCAAAAGAAACTCCCATGATTTCCCCGTTTAAATCCTGGGAGGTACCGGGATGGGTGCTTACAGCCCAATCCCTCTGACTGCTAGACTGGAAACTCGGAGGCACAAAGGGGTGCTGGTCACTCCCTGGTTCAGAGCAGCATTGCTCCAAATCTCGGACCCAACACCACGCCTCGGCGAGCCACTGCTCACAAAAGGTGGCAAAGAGAGACTGGTCCAGAGCAAAGCCTGGACTAAAGGGCTGGCCTGGAGGGGGTGAGTA